ACTCGTTCACAACATGCAAGACACTTTACTGAACCTTCATCTTCAAAGTGGTCTAACTCAGGCTGGTGTTTGCTTTCACCTTCTGAGAGAGTCAAGTTCTTCTTCCTTCCTCAGCAGTCTCTAAACAGAGGTGGTCTGTCCTGAAGCACTATTTCTGGGCCTCCGTGTGTCTCCTCAGAGACTGGCTGACCCGCTTTCCAGATGGAGCTAAACACCGCCATTCTCTGATCCACATGTCCTGAACAGAAGGCAGAGGAAATGAGAAGCTGTATCCCCACCAGGAGGGGAGCTCAGCTACCAGCACGGGGCACACAGCCAGATCACAGAGCCCTGAAACCTCTCCAGAAAGCCAGTTGTGATCCATGCAGAACAGCCTGGGCCCAGGTGAGATTTGCCTGGATTTATAATCACGGTAATGTTGAAGTTAGACAAGACTTACTACACAGTTAATTTTTAATCATTTAGATTTAATGATTTAGATTGTGACAACTCAAGCACCTTGAAACTAGGTATAAGTAAGCTAGTCACAAATTGGGCACTTACAGCCATTCCTGGTTTCCTGCAGACAAAAGATTGAAACGAGAAAGACAAGGCTTATGAGTTTCTGCCAGCCAGAAGGGTACAGGCCACTGTTTCGGTCCTTTTCCCTAAAGAGGATTTAAGATGTAAACTTGGTAAAGAAGAACGCTCTCCCATAGCACCTTCATTAAGTCTCTCAGAAGAAGAAAATAGCAAATGACCTAGAGAGCCTTATTTCATGTTCAGCTGGAATCCAGGGGTATCAGGTCAGACCTCTTTCAAGTAAGAGAAGCCCTCCCTGTGGGGCTGTTTTTTAAAACATAAGAAACTGGAAGAGAGAGTGTTTAGTGACACATGATGAGAAAGATAATTAGATGTAAAATCAAGCTAGAAAAATAACCATATTTTAAGTACCCCACAATAAAAAAATTTATTCCAGATATTTGCTTAAAACTAAGCTTTTTACTCTCATACTCATTCCAAGTAAATTATAAGTTGAAGTAAGAAATACAATGCCACTTAAATAGAGGATGAGGATTTTAGACTTCATACAGCAGTTCCTTAATCATTAATAAATTTGTTTCTAAAACTGACCTGGAGGTCCTGAAAAGAGTGGTTCTCAATAAAATGCCCAGGAATAGATATTAACGCTGCCAAATGAGTTCTGAATTAATGAATTCCTAAAAACCACAATGGAGCTTCCTGCAAGTTACGATAAAGTTGTTTTGTCCTTGGTTTATTGGTTCTGTATTACACTGCCTAAGGAGGAAGCTGGGTTTCCCCACCTTCAAGTCTGTGCCCTTTTGAATGAGTCAGACCAGGATAGCATTGGGCCACAATGCTAAGAAGCAGGCTTTTAGGCATTAAGAGTGAAAAAAAAGTTAAATAAAACTTTCCCAACTGTGTGTAGTATACCCACCCAAATTCCTCCTTTGGAATTTATTTTCTTATTCAACTTGTCATTTGAGCAGTTGAAATTAAAAAATACGGGCCCAGGATCCCACTCATAGTGAGAAAAGCACCTGCCATACCCCTTCACAGTATCCTCACCAAAACAAATCAATACAAATAACCTCCAAACAAATGGCAGGGGAAAGCAGAAGGGAGCTGGCGGGGAAGGTATCATTGAGGGCATGGCCCTGCCCTACCATTCTGTATCTTCTAAGATCTATCAGTTGTTGTTCATCAGCTAGCTTTTCTTGGTTAGGTTTGACTTTTGCAGGTTAGGGTTTGTTTGTTTGTTTGCTTGTTTGTTTTGCAGTACTGATGATTAAACCCAGGGCCCTCACACTGAGTTACATCCCCAGCTCATTTTTTATTTTTTATTTGGACACAGGGTGTCGCTGATTTGTCTGGGATGTATTTGAACTTGCAATCTTTCTACCACACCCTTCTGGAGTGCTGGGATTACAGACTTGAGCCACCCCACCAAGCTGACTTTTTTCCTTACCATGGAAATGATAAGGCATGAAAGACCAAGTTACACATGTGAACCTAGAGGAAAATAGCCAAGAAAACAGTTTAGCCATCTTCAGACTAGGCTCCTACATCATGTGGACTTAAGGAGTCCCTGAAACTGTGTATAGTTGGATTAAATTTACCAGGGCTAAGAAACCACATCCAGATTGGAGTCAAAGTTCTAGAGTAATAAAGTATGTATGACTGGGTGCTGTTGCACATCCTGCACTCTTAGCTGAGTGGAGACTGGTTCACATGGTCTGAATTTGCAGATCCTGGCCCTGGGCCCATTCTTAGACCCAGACTGACTAATGACTCCCACTGCACTACACACCCCTGAGGTGTCCAACCAGCCAGAGTGCCTCTGTGACTGAACAGGGACGCCAGTTGAGTGCATGCCCTGCAAATCTGAGTTGTGCGACGCTCTCATACTGCGGACTCTGCCCCTCTGAAGCACCTGAGGGAACGCAGAGGGACCACAAGAAAATGAACTGAAACAGGACTGAAGTAGACAGCTGTCACCGTGTGCCCGTCCTGAATCCCAGGTTTGGCCCCTTGTTCAACACAAAGCTTATTTTTGAGATCTGACCTCTAGGAAACAACAGGCACCAGTCACCTCAATTTTGAAACTCCAGACTTTGCTTGATCTTTGTTTTTGAGTCACACAAGTTAGAATCTCAATTAACAGGCTCAGATGTTAAGTGGATTTTGGCTTTGTTTTAGTCGCTTTTTTTGTCACTGGGACAAAATACCTGATACCCACAACTGAAAGGAGCAGAGGATGGTCTTGTGTCACAGTTTGTGGAAGTTTCAGTCCATAGTGAGCTGGCTCCATGAAAGGACGGAATGGCACTGGGGCATGGTGGAGGAGAGCTACTCACAGGAGGATGGACAGGAAGCAGAGAAACAGGGAGGACCTAGGAGGGAGAGGAACCAGATTCTAGGTCCTGCCCCTTCTGGCAAGGTCCCACCTCCTCACAGCAATCAGTTTTAATGCCCTTATAATCCAATCACCTTCCAAAGGTCCACCCATGGTTACATGAGGATTTAGGGGGCATCCAAATATAAGCCATTACAGACTTTTAAATACTCTAGAAACCAAATTAATTTTCACATTAATATTTCATCTCAATGAGCAAATTAGAAATTCAATCTCAGCCCTTCTCGTAAGATCTGCCTTTCTTGTGCCAGATTAGTCTCATGTTCCAGTGCCTCACACAGTGACAAGGCTTGGGGATGTGTAGTCATGGGGATGTGTCCAGGGTATTTACCACTAAGACATCCACTGTCCTTATTGTACCAACACAGACCCAGTGGTTCTCTGATAGGTGCCAGGCCATATGTGACCCGCAGGAAAGATCAGCTTGATGTAACTACAATCTAGAGTTCTAAATTCAGTAAAAAAAAATCAAACAAATAAAAAACGAGGATGTCCATTCAACTTTCAATTCAGAAAATAAGTAATTCTTTAATGTAATTATACTCCAGGCAATTTTGGGGTCATACTGATGCTAAAAATTTATTCATATTTCATGGATTTGAAATTAACTGCACATGCTGTATTTATCTGGTAACCCTACTGAGATCTCACCTGGCAATATTCCTGTCTGATAGCTTACTGCTTTATTGATAAACAGAAGCTGTGTCACTGTCTCTCTGGGGTTATGAACCTCTTCTAATACCAGACTGAGGGAACTTTCTTCCTGGGGAATTATTCTTCTTATTGGCATCAGACTGTTTGAAACAAAACTAGGAAGGTCCTACAGATGGTCCTGCTCTCCACCTGCCAGGTATATGCCCTGTGACAATGAATTACAGTCCTGACCTTGAAATGAAGGAATAGAGCAAAAAAGATCTCCCAGTATTCATCTACACTTTCTTTTTTTCTCTTAGTTCTCTCCCCCCACCCCTTCACTCTGCTTTCTTTTTTCAATATCAAAAGAAAAAACTGGAAAAATGTATTTTTCCTCAGGTCAAGAGATCAGGCAATTCTGAAACTATGAAAGAGATTTTTTTAAAAAATACAATAACTGTTAGAATCCCAGGAACTCAGAGATACTTTAGAGCATAAATACAAAAGGGCAAATATTCTCATATCTCAGAAAAGTCTTCTTTTTTATTATCTATTTTATTTATATTTCAAGATTGTAGACTGTTCCACATAGGTATGATCTCATTGTAACTGAAGGAAGTTACTATGAAAATGCTGCATTGCCTCGTAGCTACATATGCTTGTTTTTAAAATATGCTGTATTTAGTGTATCTGTGTTTAATTGATTGTATTATTGCAACAAACTCAGGGACACATTCTAAAGAATGAGTGACACAACTGCACAAAAATGTGTGTGGAAAGACGCTTATTGCAGCATTGGTTATGAAAAGAGAGTGGGCAAATTTAAATGTCCTTCAATCAAATAGTGGCTAAATAAATTTGACCACAATTACCCAGTATAGTTATTAAACTCAGTGTTTATCCATCTTTGTATCAGAATTCCTACATTATGAAAAAGAAATGTAAAAATATAAGGAATAGACAAGAACATACAAAACTGTCATTCAATGACAGCATAATTGCATATATAAAATCCAAAAAGTCTACAGATTTTTTGAATTAATGAATAAAATTATCAAGGTTGTCAGATGCAAGGACAATATACAAAATACATTGTATTTTTATACTGATCTAAATAGTTTAAAATGGAATATCAGTAAAAAAAAATTTTAAGCAGCTTCAAAAAAAAAAGAAGGAGGGAGATTTGCAAAGACTTCACACAGAAAACTGCAAAATGTTATGTAGTAAAATCAAAAGAAGTCAAAGTAAGGGAAAGACAGATGATGTTCACAAAACAGAAGTCTCAATTGTACAAAAATGTCACTTTCCTCTACTTAATCCTAGAGGTTCACTTTAAGCCCAAATGGCTAGTGGAGGAACAGAGACCAGTACAACTGCAGAGTCTGAAGTCAGCCCCACAGAGATGGTCACTTGATCACTGCCAATGGGGCCCTGCAGAGCAGTAGCAGTAGAACGATCTTTTAGGCAAGTAGCTAAGAGTCAACTGGATTACACAGGTCCACATTTAAGACAGGGGTGCTCATTCTCCCAGTTCCTGGCTGGTCAGCAGCTTATCTCAGAGCTGTATCATCCTCCCCAAGTGAGAGTTGACATCCCTGGAAGTGTTCAACCATGCAGGTGTAATGGAGTTACTATACCAAGTGTATAGCAGGAGAAGAACAGAGAGCCAAAGACCAAGGCATGGGAACTGCTACCAACTAAGGGTAGGGATCAGAAGCTTAAGTCACAAAGAAACAGAAAAGTGAGAACTGGTACAGTTTTCAATGACCAAATGAAGTAAGACACAGGACTTACCTTCAAGAGCCTCCAGACTGGGAGGGGAACAGCATCTACACTTGAAAGGATAGATATTCCAGCACCAAGCACCAAAGGAATGTCAAGGATGGAATGTGGCAGGGAGAAACACAATAGGACTGGCCTTACTCTGAGCAATAGGGACCTCGGCTTTCCCACTTGAAAACTGGCAACAGTGTTATTGAGTGCATAGGGTTTTGGTGAAAAAAATCAGTAAGATGATTGAAGTTCTGGCTTCAGTTGCTGGCTTGTAGTAAGCAGTCAAAAAGTTGTCATTTTTATTGTAATTTCCACATGACACTTGCTACTGCTAGTAGGGATAGTGAACTGTGGCCTGCAGAGGAGACTTGATGAATGATGAGGAGTTGGAATGATCACAGTGGATTCACTTTACATTCTGGGACAGTGAGCAAGTTCAGTGGCTGTTGAGGGTGGTGGTGGTCAGGAGATGTTTGTTCAAAATATACACAGTTTTTTGAGTTGGGAGTCATGAAGGGTAGATGGTAGCCAGACTCTGAATTGGAGGGTAATTGGACTTTGTGCAAGAGTTAATCCAGAACTTTGGAAGATATGTAGCAGAGAACAACATAAATAAAAACAACCCACTGGTGAGATTATAAATTGACTCTGGTAGTAGGAAAATGTTAACTCACTATCTCAAATATGAGTAGATGTGACAATAATACTGGAAATAGAAAGGAAGGAGACCTTTGAGGTGTATTTAAAAGAGAAGGTGTGTTAGAAGTGGTTAGGAAGGCATGGATGGGAAGGGGTGACCCTATTTTTCATACCTGAGTTTCAAGTTTGGGTTTCTTAAATAGTAGTTGTATGTGCTCAGATGGCTGTAACAAACCACAGGTTTGGTGACTTAAACAACAGAAATTTATTTTCTCACAGTTCCAGAGGTCAGAAGTTCAAGGTCAAGGTGCCATCAGGGTTGATTTCCAGTGAAGCCCGTTCCCAGCTTACAGCTGCTTCTCTTCTCACTGTTTCCTCTGCACCATGTGGCTCCTTCCCTCTCTTTCTGCATCCTGGCTGCCATGCTAAGAGCAGCTTTTCCTCCACTGCACTCCTCTGCCAGGCCAGTCTGCCCTGGAGCCAGCCAAGCATGGACTGTGACCATGAGCCAAATAGACCTGTCCTCCCCCAAGTTATGAGTGCCAGGTACTGTGCCTCAGTCACGGGAAAGGATTAAGACAGGTTTCCACATGAATTTGAGAAAGACACAATGAAGTCTACCACACTGATGTCATTTGAGACCCAGGAAACATGAAAACGAGTGGATGGGAGTCTTAGACACAGTGTCTGTAGACATTTTGGCTTTGGATATGATAATTGGTTAATTTACAGCTATCCAACAGAACACTGAATGATGAAGGAAATGTTCCACATCAATGCAGACATTGTCCATTATAGTAGCCACTGTCCCATGTGGCAAATGAAATTTACATGTGGCTCATGAGACTAAAGAAGGCAATTTTAAATTTTATATATATTTTTATTAACATAAATTTAAACTGTATTAAACAATGTAAGTTATAACAATAGGACTTAGATAGAATAAAGAGGTTCTGTCAATAACTACATCTAAAGTTCCTCCTCAATCCTAAAATGTATCTGTTCTACTTCTACCTTTTGTTATAGAAAGAAAAACTGAAGCTCTGAAAAGATATGTCTCATTCCAGATTAACACTGTTGGTTGCTTACAGACCCTTAATAAAGACTTGAGTGTTTTGATGGCAGCCTTTATGCAATTAGGAATGTTTAGCAGGCATATGAAGCAGTGCCACTAGAGTAGAGAAGTAATGTGTCAGGCTGAGACACTTCTTCCATGGGGTGATGGTTGCAGACATGGAAGTGGATATCATCTGGAAAGAAGAGGGTATGAAGCGCTGCATCAGGCCTTGGGAAATATACCAAAATAAATGGGAAATAAAAACAAATGAAAAAAGGAACTGGATTTCCATCTGCCAAAGGCACACCATCAACTCAATATCTGTCACCAGCACCACCTCAGATTTATAATTCATTTCTTAGAGGAAGGCACAATGTTAAGGAGCAATGACTGTGCTGGCTTAACATCCCATCTCCACCATCCAGTAGCTGGGTGACCAGAGAAAGGCCCTTAACCTCTCTGTGCCTCTGTTTTCCTCCTTTGTAGCTGTTGAGAAGATTAAGTGAGATGGTATACTAAGTGTTAGTAAAGCCATGGCAGATAATACACATTTTTTAAGCTTTATATAAAAAGTACAACTTGAGGGAGGAAGGAGGCAAGAGAAAGGATATGAACAAAGGAATGAAGATGTGTTATCTACATGTACCAACTTCCCACAAGGAATGTAAACATTGTGTACTACAGAAGTGTACTGATAAACTAAAATAAAATAACATTTAAAAAGTAGAATTTACTTTGCTTCTAGTCTTGTTCCTTCTCCTAATCCTTCTGTTCTGACTTAATAGCATTACACTTTATCTAGCCAACATTTCACAAACCCTGAGTCACTTTCGATTCCTTCTTCTTCTATCCCCACATCCAGTAATTCACCAACTGTTATTAATTCTAGCACCACAATGTATTTCAAATACAGCTGCTATTTCCTGTGTGTATTAGTCAGCATTCCATTGATATAACAAATACTAGAGATAATGTACTTAATAAAAGAGATTAGTCAAGCATGGTGGTGCACACTTATAATCTCAGCACTCTGTGAGGCCAAAGCAAGAGGATCCCAAGTTGTCACACAGCCTGGGCATTGTGGCTTAGTGAGATCATGTCTCAAAATAAAAATTAAAAAGGGTCAGGGATACAGCTCAGTGCAAAGGGTCTGGGTTGAATTTCCAATGAGAGAGAGAGAGAGAGAGATTATTGACTACAGTTTCAGTTGATGATTGATTGGCCTGTTGTCTCTGGGCCTATGGTGGCACATCATAGCAGGAGCACACAGTGGAACAAAACAGCTCACATAGTCAGGGTACAAGAGTGAGTGAGAAGGCACAGGAGTCCCACAATCCCCTTCAAGGCCGTGCCCCAGGTGACCTGGAAACCTCTTAATAGGCCCCTTAAAGGTTCCATCACTCCTGATAGCACCACTCTGGGGAACAAGCCTTCAACAGCAGATCCTTTGGAGAATGCCCACAGTCAACTCTGTGGCCCCGTGACCTCCACTCCTGCTGTGACTCAGCCCTGCCCACAGTCACACTAGACTTTCTGTCAAGAGCATCTCCACTTCCAGGGTGCTCCTTGTGCCTGCTCACTCTCTGGGTGGTGAATAGATCACCCAACATGCACCACGGAGCCCACAATGGTGTCCTGAGACCACAAGTACCAAACCCTACATGTTTTTCCTATACACAAACCTACAACAAATTTTAATTTATGTATCAGGCTCAGTAAGAGATTATCAATAACTATTAATAATGAAAAAGAGCAATTGCCACAATATGCTGCAGTTAAAGTACTCACTGTACCAAGCCATCCTTCTCTTCCCTGGGATGATGTGAGGAGATACAGTGCCTAAGCCAGGTGGATAACACTGGCCTAGTCTCATACCTGTAGGCTCCTATCAACTCACCCCACTTATCAAGAAGCAAGCCACCCCCTCCATCCCACTCGGGACACGAGTCACCCTCTCTATACCCCATGCACCCTAAGTCATCTGGTAGCCATTGAGGTGATCAGATCAACTGTTGTGGAATCACGCTCCTTGTATGCAGATAACACTCAGAATTGCATATAATTTGAACCGATAAGTTATCTCTTCTGGAAGTTTCCATCTAATATATTTTAATCACAGTTGACCACAGGTGACTACAACCACAAAAGTGAAACCACGGTGAAGGGTGACTGCAGCATCCACAAACCATAGGCCACTTTGTACACTTCCCCTGGCAGGCAGGATTAAATTGGTCCTCCTCAGCATGACATTCAAGGCCCTTCACACCCTGGTCTCAATGTCCCTCTCTATTTGGAGTCTGCTTTCATATTTCACTTTTTACTTTGAACCAAGAATATTTAGATATGGATCAGTACATTTTAAATTTTCAAAAGAAAAATTGTACTATGGCTGTGTGGCACCTGGTAGATGGAAGGAGATTTTTCACTTAGCTCCCTGGGGCAGATCCAAAATTGTATTAAACCTCACAGAGAGGCACCTCCTCAGCAGGATCCTGAATTCTTTTGTGCCAATCTTTGTACTATATCGTGTGTGTGTGTGTGGTGCTGGGCATTGAACCCAGGGCCTTCACACTGAGCTGTCTTACCTCCCCAGCCTTTTTTAAATTTTTGAGATGGGTACCGCTATATTGGTAAGTTACCTGGGCTGGGCTTGAACTTGCAATCCTCTTGCCTCAGCCTCCCAGAGTGCTGGGGTTAGATCTTACATAATTGTTAATAGTTGCACATTTCAATCTCCAAGATGTCCTAGTTTGGGCAGTCAGTCATGTGGTGCACTAGACCCTCCCCCTTGCCACACAAGTCCTTCTGGCAAGGTGGTGGTGGCGGCAGAATGTTCACCCTCCATTCATCCCACCTACTGTGTCAGACATTTAGCTCTTGGAGTCATTCTTCACTTACCAGCCTCTCCTACTTCCCAAAAGACCCACTTCAGGGCTGCTCGGCCCTTGCTGAAGCATCTTTTCCCAGGTGCTGCTTCACATTTCCCCACAACTGTATTAAAAATTGTTTCACAGCTCCATTCTCTGAATCTAGTTGATTAAACATGCTAATACTAAAAAGTGGCTAGAAGTGCCACCTTCCCAGAGAAAATTTATGAATTTTAAAAGGGCCTTAAGAGCCCTGGCCAAAGGAATGGCTAATGGAGGAACTTTTGGAGGATTGTGTCAGTGTTGGTGTCACTGAAGTGATGCATCAGAGGCCAGGGATGTTGTGAGGGCCCCAGGGGGACATGAGCCATTGCTCACACTTCTGACCACAGGAGCAGAGTGAGGGTAGAAAGTGGGGGAGGCGGAAGGTGGGAGGGCAGCACATCAGTAATGGATGACCTTGGAGACAAAGAGCAACATGAAAATGAAAGAATGACTCAGGGAAATTACAACTGGGGAATCTCTAGGGAAAGTGAACACAAGAAGAAAATTGTTGAAAGGGGTGGAGAATAGAAAGTTATCACTGAGAACCTGCAGTGCTTGACTAAAGCAGGCCAGGTGAGCCCAAGGCGGAACATGTGAGGTGGCCAGGAGCCTGGCACTCTGAGCTCCAAGCTCTCCTGTCTGCGCAGAAGTGAGATGCTCCAGAACCAGTTCCTGGCTTCTAATTTCCCGAGCAATGCTGGACAGGAGAAATAAGTAGAAAGAAACCTTTAAAAAGCTGACTTTGGGCCTTCATCCGGAGCTTCTCCCTGCAGGTCGGCCAAGCAGCCTGAGGCTCCTCGGCTGTGTTCCAGTTCCTGCCCAAGGCACGGTGAGGTCCCAGGAGTGGCTTGGACCCCCGTCTTCATCCGGTGCTCTGCTTAGCCACACAGGCACCTGCAAGGCCCAATTCCATCTCTCCCCCGCCCTCCCCACCTTACAGATCTTATGCTACCTGGTCCCTCACTACATAGGCACAGGAGATTATACTTCACATAGTTAAATGTGATAGATTAATAACTACAACAAATTATCATTTTCTAAGATGTGCTTGATGCTATGGTATTGCTGATTATAACATTTGGCCTAACATGTTGTGATTGATCTAATCAGGTTTCCTTCCTGGTATAAGGAAAATAAAATAGCCTCAGAGTCATTAGCGCCTCAAAACCTAAACACAAGCCATATCTGGAAGACACCCCTGAAAAGCAATCATTCCACAAGGGTTTTAAACACAAGCAACAAAGATACCTGAATTAAGCAATTTGGAAATATCAACCCAGGAATTAAACCAAGGACAGTACCAAAAACAAAAATGAGAAGACACTTAAGGAAGGCACAAAGGCAGGCTTCCATGCCACAAAAAGGAAATTCTGGGAGAAATGAGGTGGAAAAGTCTGATAATCAACCACCTGGACACCCTGAACTGATAGCACAGGAAGTAACAAAGCAGATACATGAGGCTTTAGAAAAATTCAAAGCAGAAATAATCTCCCAGATAAATACAGAGATGGTGAGTAGAGTGAAAGACATGATTAGAGGCTCTAGAGCAGAAACAGACAAGAAAATAGATGAGATCAGAAACATGCAGGAAGCCATGAATGCCCAGCATAAGAAAGAAATGGAAACTATGATCGCTCAGCATAAAAAAGAAATGGAAACCATGATCGCCCAGCATAAGAAAGAAATGGAATCCATGAAACAGATTCAAACAGATATTCAGGAAATTAAAAACTCCATTGAAAGCATGCAGAGCAGACTAAGAGAATCTGAAGACAGAATATCAGATATAGAAGACAGGAATGTGGTTAAGGACCATGAAAACAGAGATTTCTTAAAGATAATAAGGGACCATGAGAAATCAATACAACAGCTGCCAGATGATGAAAAGAAGAATAACATAAGACTGATAGGAGTCCACGAAAAAACAGGAGAAAGTACAACTGACATTAAAAAACTGTCCACAGAAGTAATAGTAGAAAACTTCCAAGACAGAGGTGGAGAATTGGACACACAGATAAGTGAGGCATATAGAACTC